CGTGGGTCGGCGAGGCCAGAGCAGCGCCGGTGAGGCGGGACCTCGCACGCGGGTGAGTGACGAGCGGGAACTGGAGCGGACGCGGTCAGGGTCAGGCGCGGTCGAGGCGAGGACGGCCAGTGAGCCACGATGGTGCGGCCCGGGACAAAGGGGAAAGGAGGGGGGGTCCTCACAGCGGTGCATAGGGCAATGGCAACGGTTGCCGAGGAGGAGGACGGGGACGCGTGCGTTGCCGGAGATGAGGAGGCGGTCCGGCGAGGTGGCATTCCGACGAGGGAGGCTTCGGGCGGCGGCGGGCGTCGGGGTCGGGGACGAGGCAGTCCGGCGACGGCGCGGCCGCGGAGGAGGCGGCGACGACCGAGCGGCGCCGTTGCGGTGGCGCCAGCGGTGGGGCGACAGCAAGTGGGGACGGGGCGCGGTTGACCGCGATCGAGCGGAGGAAGGAGATGGGGATCGAGCAGAGGAGTGGGGGGGCATCGTGCCGATCCACGGATCCAGATTGGATCGAGAGGGGGAGGAGGAGTGGCGACGTGGGGGAAGTGGGGTGCCGGTGGTTTAGGGTTTCGGGTAGTGGGGTGGATAAGGGAGCGGTGGTGGGCTGGCCGGTTGGCCCTTGCCAGGTTCGGCCGGCCTGGTGGGGTAGCCGACTGGGCCGGCTGGGTCGAGGCCCAGTGGGGGAAGCGGGGGTTCTTTCCCTCTTCTTATTTTTATTTGCTATTTTTGCTTTCTTTCAGTTTCCTTTTATTTTAGCTTTAGTAAATTACCAAAGTGGCACCTAAATAGATTTAACAAATTTATGCCACTGCCACAATAGTTTAATACTTATGACAATTTAGTTTTGAAAATGTTTATTATTTTTAAAGCTTTTAAATAATTATATTTGCTACTGTTATATTCATTTTAGAGTATTTAAACATTTTATAAAAGTGTGGTTTCTCCACCATAATTACCTATGCATTATTTGGCTCACTTCGAACATTTTAGTTTTAATACTTGAAAACTTTTATGTTTACTTGATTTTGAATTTGAATTTGAATCGGTTTTTGAACTAACGAGAGATTATCAACAGTAATCGAGGTGACGTGGCATCCTTAGTAGAGGGTTACTGTTGTTTAATTACCCGGGCGTCACACGGCTCCGGCGACCCGCGGTTCCCATGGCGAAGGGGGCGCGGCGGGCGGCTTCGGCAAGCTGAGCGGGGGAGGGGGGCGAAGGGCGGCTCCGGTGGCCCACGGCTCCCGCGGCGAAGGGGGCGGTTCCAGTGGCGGCTGACAGCAAAGGGAGGAACGACGGGGCGGCGAAAGGCGGCTCCGGTGGCGGCTGACGGCCGCGGGAGGAACGGCAAGGTGGGGAACTGCCCAGGTGGGAGGAGGAGGAGGGGGGCGAGAGTCGTGCGTGCGTGCGTGCGTTGTTGGTAGATTTCTTTTTTAACAGCGGGGCAGGTTAGCGAGACTTAATGCGTGGCTTGTTGGGTTAAACACCGGAGGATTATGGGCCATCAGTAGTCCTGGCCATGGGCAGCCCGGCCCGGTCGGCCCGACCCGACCCGGCCCGAAAAAGCCCAACCCGGCCCGGCCCGACCTTGTCCATGGCCAGGCTCGGGCCTAGGTTTTGAGCCCGAAGCCCGGGTCGGGTCGGGCCCGGGCCCGTCAATTTCATCATTTAAGGAAGAGGCCCGGCCCGTGGCCCGAGGCCCAACGGGCTTTTAGTATGATGGGCTGGGCTCGGGCCCGATTTTTAGGCCCGACGGCCAGGTTGGGCCGGGCTCGGGCCTGGGTTTTTTGCGTCAGGTTTTGGTTGGCCCAGCCCGAAGCCCGGCCTGACCCGAGGAATGGCCAGGTATAGCCATCAAATATTGTAGATGGACGGTTAAAATTGTTTGGATCTGCCCCTCTTTTTCTTTTATAGTGGTAGTAGATGTTTATTTACTTTTGTTTACACTTCCGAAAATTATCTCTACCTACTAATAAACCAGCGATCGATTGCTTCTGGTCGTACGTCATCGACGTTTTTGCATAAAAGTCCCTTTATTTTTCAGAATTCAACTCGCAGTCCCTTTTAAGTCATTAAACTGAGATACCGTTTCGTTTTTGCAAAAGAAACCCTATACTTTGGTATATTCAACCTGCGGTCCATACGTCTGATTTTATTATTTGGGAGCGGATCAAATCGGCGGCTCGAGCGGCGGCGGCGGCTCGAGCTTGCAGGGGCTGGGGGCAGATCCGGAGGCGGGGGTCGCCGGTGACGACGAGGAAGGCGGAGCACGGGCGGATCCATGGCATCCGCGGCTCCTGGGCACAAAGGAGACAGGGAGGCCAGGGAGAGAAGAAGGAAGAAAGGAGGGGTTGTGCGGCGACCTAGCAAGGAGCTCGCCGGAGCTGGGCGAAGGCGGACTGGCGCGGGAGACGGAGGGGTCCGGCGCGGCGGCGCGAAGTCCTTGCAGGTGGAGACAGGCGTCGAAGCAGAGGACGAGAGGATCCCCTGATCCATCCCCTCCTACCCATCCAGCCCTTCCTCGATGGCCCGCGTGCGACGAGCCCCTACGCGGGGTAAGAAGGAGGATCACGCGAGGTGGAGCACTCCAGCCCCCTCCTAGCCCTATCACGGTGAGGCCTCCTTTCCCTCTCTCCCTGCCTGAGCCATAGGCTGGCGGCGCTGAGGTCGATCTGCTCATGCACACACTGTTGCTGTGACATGATGACAGCCACGACCCACTTTTTCTTCCAGTTCCTTGTTTTTGTGGTGGATGCATCCATGATTATTTGTTTCAACTATTGATTTTCAGTTTAGTCAATCAAACCCATTCCAATGCTGCTCTTTTACTTGTACAAATAAACTATTGTTCACTAAATTGAGCAGCTAGCTATTGGTGTCTCAAAGATTAAGCGCAGGTTGGTATTTATGGTCAGGCCTGCCTCAAGTAGAGGAAGAAGAGGAGGCCTGAAAGAGAGAGGCCGCAAGGTAGAAGCCTTTTGATTAGGAGGCAGTCTAGCAAGTTGGACGAACTGCTGATAAAGAGATAATTCTATTCTGAATTTTTATCTGAAAAGCAGGATTGGATCACGGATGTATGTTGGCTATGTCTCTCACGGTGTGTGGAATCAGTTATTGGTTAATTTCATCTTATTTGTTGACACTGATGGTGTTGTCCATTGGTTTAACAGAAATTTGTTGAACCTAAAGATGAAGAGGAACTCGTGGAAGAGGAAAAGAAATGACATGGTAGAAATTCATTCACACATATCAGGGTCATAGTGAGAGGATTGATCTGCTTGATTCGCTCCTGATGGTCGGTGGATTGTTTCTGGTAGGGCTAAGAGTTCTGTGAAGGTAAGATTTTGATCCAACCTATTAAGCAGTACCATACAAATTACAGGAGAATCTGTTGTTTGGTCCAACCTATAAAGGTGCCATATATGCTCAGTTGCTCACAACAGTGCTAATATTAACAAGGTGAATAAACTCACGCTCTAGCGGAAGATATCCTTTATATTTTTGGGGTCACTGATACCTGTACAAAAACATAAGATGTGTTCCTAGATAACATCTTTCCTCCAAAATAATTTATATATCATCTAGACTTGGTTAGTTGTAGCTTTTGCTTTCTGTTCTTTCCACAAGCTTCTGTAGGTTCAAATGATAGTTGTTAAATTTTGGGACCTTAAGACTTTTTAGTTGATTGCATCCTCTAGACCGGGAGGTATAATAGCATATCCTAATTGTCTATTTGATGATTCAGAAAGCTCTGGCTCTACTCATGTATATCAGTTTATATTCAGATTGTGAAGTACTCCCTCTATAAAGAAATATAAGAGCGTTTAGTTCTATAAAACATATTTATATGCAGTTATCCAACAAATTTATGTCCTAAAATCTTACAACTTCTCTTAAGCTGTTTTTTTTGCGGGAAAGTTGTATTTGACCATAACCTTGGCTTAAATGCAATTTAATTTCAACCTCAAATTTGGTGATTTTTTAATGGGCACAACTGTGTCGGTAGAGGACTAGAGGTTGACAGTTATGAATTTTGTGATAATCTTCGGCTATACTGTTATATATAGCACTTTCCAGGTTATATGGTTCACATTCTCTGAGCCAATTCACAATGACCATTCCAGATTTGGGCCTTGCATTTTTAAATTACTATTTGATGCCCCGCGCGTTGCTGCGGGAATTTGTTGTGGATTTCTAAGTAACTTGAACAAAAAAGTAAGTTAACAATTCGAATTAATAATATGAGATTTCATATAGGTAATGATGAGCAACAATATGATAGCTTTCATATAGAGGCAATGATTAAAATTATTAGTGGTATAATTATATATTGTATTGATTGCATGAACCATATCTCAACATAATCTATTTCACGTTGTTTGGAGGAGTGTCCTCTTCGACCAATAGGTAGTAGAGAAGAGTAATATAATGCAGGCGGGATATAAAACTTATTCACTCTGGTATATATTTGATTTTGTACTGCTGAGGGCACATAGAAGTATATGAGATTGTTCCTCAGTTACAATAGAATTTTCCTTCCACTCAGTTACATTAGAACTGATCTCCCACAGAAACAATTGGTAAGGACATGTGATAGATGACATAGAGCAAGGTAAGTAAACTGAGAAAGGTAATCAATAAATTATATAATGACCGGACCAAATGTAATAGACCAAGCAAACCATATAGCAGGAACCATCGATATTGAGACGGGGGACACACGGCAAAGAAAACAAACAGAGCGATCCAAATGCAACCATCCAGCCAAAGGCCATCGATATTGAGATACACCCATTGGCACCTGCACATCATAACAAAAAGGAAGCCAGCACGCACATGCACAGAAGGAATTTGAAGCAATCAAGAGCAGCGGAGAACACGACTTTGGTCCTCGCATGCGGCAACAGCAGCATCCGGCTTCAAAGAACGGCTCTCTGTCAGGCTGGCCCAGCCGGCTACACCGCTACTCACAGCGGATGTGGCACCCAGCCCGCGCGGCAAAGGCCCTCGGCCACGACGCCGCTCATCCCGATACAGCAACATTGTGTGGCGTCGTCAGCAGCACGCGTCGTTGTCGACGCAGGACGGCGCGTGGCGAAGCCCTTCGGCTTGACCTGTCGCTTCTCCCACGGCGAACCTGACCATGGAGGCGGCTAGCATGGTTGCACCCAACGCTACGTCTCCCGGCCGGCCGGCCGTGACGACGCCCTCCGGCGTGCACGCGCGTTGGCTGCCCAGCAGCCCAGGCTACACTTCTTAAAGGGAGATGAACTGCATCCGTTACCCATGCATGAGGAGGGAGAAGAAAATCCATCCGTTTCTATTGCAATACAAAAGTGGGATTTGATGGGCATTGAAGAAGGAAACGGAAGCCATGGTGATTGCAGAGAAGTAGGAAGCACCGACGGAGGGCCCTACAATGGGGAATTAATTGTGGAAAGAAACTCATGTAGATATCTGTGAAGGAGAAGAAACGGTGCGATCGGGCAGAGCTGCGGGCCTTGGGGCTAAAATGAAGTTGTATGGTGAAGAAACGAAAAAGAGAGGAAGAGAAGTTAAATTACAGGAATAAGAAAAGTATTTGGAATTGATGATGTGGCTAGAATGCTGAGGTGGACTGAGATGGATGGCTGCATGTAGATTGATGATGTGAATAGCTTGCATGTCAAGAGAAATCATGTAGTGAGGGGCTTCTATTTAGATATAGTAGATTTTGTAACATTTTGGTTGATCTTTGATGCTGCTCCTTAATTTTTTACATTGACTGGTGTAGAACTAAATGAGTGTTGACATTCAAGGGAGGCCCCATGCTTTTAAACAGTATATGAATGTTGTTAGCTCGGTCCTTCACAAATAAGTCCCTTGATGTGTGTCATCTCTCATTGCATATAACATCTGGTCTTTTTATTTTTCATTGATTTTTCTTCTCCCGGTGCACTGAATTTGCAAGGGCGTGTAGACGGCAGGATGAGCAGCAGCATGCCGGTGGTAAGACAGGGCGTGTTGGCGTACGCGAAGCAGCCATGCATGAATCGTGGCGGCGGATGCTTGCTGGCCATAGTGGCAACACCAATTCAAGCTGGGAGGCGGGAAGCTGGAGTAGCAGAAACGATTGGTCATCCATTAGGCATGAACCCAACTCCATTGTACTTCCTTTTCTTTCCGTAACCAATTCTTTGGAGCAGACATGTGGGTACAGTTACATAGCCTGAAGATTGTTTGCTTTTTTGGTTAGTTCAGATTTAGATTTCTCAGATATTCACTATTTGATCAATCGATCCATGTAGATCTCATTGACATGGTTTGTGGAATGTACCTTTCAGCATTTATCCTAATTAGTTAAATGCCTAGCTGGTGATAAGAGGAAGAGGATGATCAGAAAAGCATGGAGTTAAGTGAATCAGTACAGGAAGAAAGGCCGTTCAGAAAGAAAATAGTAGAGGAAGAAAGGGAGGAGCAGCAGTCAAGGTTGGGCTTGGTGGCCTCGACGCCTATGACCTCCTCTATGCCAAGCCTCGCATCACCCAGTTATTATGTTATCTACTCCCTCCGTTCCAAATTACTCGTCGTAGAAATGGACGTATCTAAATGTAGATACGTCCATTTCTACGACGAGTAATTTGGAACGGAGGGAGTACTTCCATGGATTTACTGGCGTATAAAAATATGACTATCTGATGTACTCGTATGACTTAGCTGAGTTTCCTCTTTATGTAACAAGGCTCTCTTTTAAAGTTGTTTCGCTGTCCTCATTCCTTGTGATCTCGGAATCAGTATTTAGTTGATAACTGTGGCAACAAAGGATAGTTTGCGAACAAGGTTCTCACCCCTTATGTTTATTTTGGCATGGAAAAGCACTGTGATTAAATCTGTTGAACACGCCCTTATAGCAGACTAGCAGTAATCTTCATATGAATGGACCTTGAATGTTGTTATTGATAAAGAACTGAATATAAGATACGTTTACAATTATGTGAGGAAGCGAGCATCGATTATAAGGAGGTAGAGATGTCCATGGTGGAGCTGGCGGACAGTATGGTACATATAAGAGAACCGCGAGTGGCCAAGTACCAACTGCAGCGGCTTGGCTGCGTCTGAAAGTGGTAGCAATTCCGGGCCAGCAAGGCTCAACCACGAATCCACAATGCCGACATGTACAGCGCCGCCGGCTCCGATGAGAGCGGGCTTCCGGAGCATCACAAGGAGCTAATTAAGGAGCCACATTACGTTAGTATTGCAGCGCACCAGACATGCTTTAATTTTTCTATGAGCTAGGTTCAATTAATTAGTATTTTCTTTTAGGTATTCTTAGTGCAAAAATGTCAAAAAAGTGGATGAACTACCAGGTAAAACCGTAACAACAGTATATTCTCAACTATCAAGCCTTTTGATTTGAAAAAATATAGTCACAATTATCTTCCGTGTGCATGTAAATTTCCATAAAAATTGACGAGATTTGTGCGACATTTTAAAAAAGCATGATAATTTTTTTCTGGAGCATTAAAACATCAATCATAAAAAACATTTTTTGTGCAAATTTACAAGTTCTTGAAGCACCATGAATATGTACACTTCCAAACAATCCATTTGGTACGATCAATCTTTTTTGTGAATTTAAATAAGATCCTTTTCCTTCGCTAAATAGCTTCAACATGGAGACTCTAATAGAGTAGAACTATATTTTGCGACTGGCTGGACAATTTGGACGTGATAGTAGGAGAGAAACCACGCAAGAAATAGGACAAAAACTTGACCGATAAGAAGGAAGGATGTCCAACAAAATATATGGTGATAACGCATGAATACCGGTGCTGGTCGACCGATTCAAAGGTTCCCGAGTAAAATGAATAGATACCAGACATAATTACTCTGACATTTGTACTACTGTTATTACATACCATACAATTACAAGCTCGAAAATGCTGTGAGAACCAGGAACACAAAATCATATGGCAAAAAACCTAGAAAGCCTACGCGTGCTCAGTACTGCGGATAAACATCATAGCTACACTACTATGCTTAGATCACACATAATAGTTAGAAGTGGTTTGCATATAATCAAACAATAAATTTGTGCACGAAATTATTTGTTTTGTAAAATTAATGATATAGTAGTTGAATGCAATCATTGAAGGTTTTTTAAAGAGAAATACAGTACCAGCGAGCTCCACATCGGTATCGGTCTACCTAATCATATATCAATGGCAAATATTAACATGCTCCCTCTTACCCCCTCTTTTTTTGCATGTGAGGTAAGAAGG